CGGAGACTCACTCAGCTCAGGCAGAAGGTCTGCGAGGGAATGATAACGCTCGGACCAAAGTCCCTCCACCTTCCTCCAACCGCCGAGTAGCGTTGGAACGCTAACGGGGTCACAGGACGGGCACAGCGACACACACAGCGCAAAGAGGATGAGCGGATCGAGGACGGACTGCGATTCCACTGTCGCCAGGAGCCCGAGCGCTTCTTTCTGAGCTCCAGTTGCCTAATGTGCTATGATTGACAGCTGGCTACTAAACGGACCGAGAAGTATGGATCAGCCTCGATAGGCGCATGAACAGGTAATGGAAGGTAGCGGAGGTAAATATTTTCGATTAGATTGGAATCTTATTAACCGGTCAGAGCGTGCTCCGAAGCGCAATAAGACGCTAGCCGTTTTCACGACGGCCATCTGGTACACATTTGGTGCACATCTGGTACAGATTAGGTGCAGATTTGGTCAAATCAGGTACAGTGTGTCTCTTAGCAGCTATCAGCTAGGGTTGCACTAATTGCTTATATGCCTGCTTTGTCATATTATCAGACAGCATCATCGATTTAAACACTGAAATAAATTCACAAGATGAAGATATTCGCTGTAAAAGAAATTTGGTGCAGATTTGGTCAAATCAGGTGCATTCGCCGGATAGCCCGTCGTGAAAACGACGGGCTATCCGTCTATTATCGGTCTTGGCGAAAACGGCTATGATCGGTCTTGGCGCACAATTGCTGAGCTTGCTGCTGAGCTTGATAAATGCAACGATTACCACGGTCCACACAACCTACGAGCAACACAATGCTGTGATCAACACCTCGTTGTCTCGACATCTAAAAAAGTACCTCAATGTCACATTTTCACATATCTTCGGTGGCGCAGCTGGCAGAGTGTGTTAAGTCTGGGGACCGGAGAGTTAGCGTCATACGGCATCATGCGTATGTTGCAGATGGATCTGTATGGGTATAGATTAACCCGGCACCGCCTGGGCTATTTCCGTACCCACGACAGCCTGGGGGGGGGGGGGTCGGATCCGACCCCCCCCCTGTTATCTCGAGAAGCAATGGTCGTATCGAGCCCCGCGAGGCGGCGTTCGAAAGGTCTCTACGAGACCTTCCCAAAGCACTCTTAAGATTTTAAGATTGAGGTCAACTTTCGGGTCAAGGTCAGGTCAAAGGTCAAATTCAGGGGTTTTGCATGATTAGGCTTACGGACAGCGGAATCGATAGCTGCTGCTCGAAACTCACCAAAAATGACCTCAAAGGCCTAGTGAAGGTACCATGTGTGTATAGGGGTCATACTAAGTACGGGTCAAGGTCAGGTCAGGTCACGAAAGGTCACGGTTTTCAATTTCTGCTACATGGGCGTGCGACACATGTTTTATGGCTTATTTTTCACGCCTAATCCGATGGTAATGGTTATATGTGACCCCCAAGTCACTGTACTAGTGATAAGTGTGCATTGAAAGCATAAAAAATCGTTTATGCTATACGAGGGCTGAGAAAAAAGGTCAATTTTTCAACTTTTTATTTTTGACATAAAAATGCACTTTTCTAGACGAGCTTTGTCCCAGGAATCTAGTGGTGCCATTTGTTTTCACATGCGATGTTCAGAAGTGCCTCTAATTCACGAAAATGCTTATGACGTCACCATGCCCTATGCATGTTGGAGCTATTTTTTACAATTTGGGGGTCAAAAATCAAGATAAAAAGTTGAAATTTGGGACATCTAATGTTCTAATAGAGCTCTACAACATATACTCCGGTTTTTTGAAAATTCCTAAAATTTTGGATTTTATTATCTGTTTTCCAAAAAATATAGTTTTTTGAATTTTTAGGGGAGAAAAACGCATTTTCTGGAAAATCCGAGATAGCCATTTTAAAGAACACGTCAAGGTGCGTCTTTTCATGTCCTTAATTTGCAATTTGCTTTAAACCCTGATTTTTGGCGATTTTTTAAACATTTTCCACTTTTTGACTAAAAACGCCATGTAGTTACATCACTAAAATCGATATATCTCAAAAATTTTTGGAAATTTTTTCTTAAAAATTGCACAGGAGACGTCAAATTGATGGGGGAGAAGGTGTGCCAAGTTTCAAGTAGATAACGAAAGTGGTTCATGAGTTATTCAAGAAAAACGGAGGGGGGGGGTCGGATCCGACCCCCCCAGGCGGTCGCGGGTTAAAGGGACTATCCCACCTTTACATTAGGTTTGAGTTGAGATAGCCAAGTTTGCGGCGAGGTTCAGAAACCGAGCTCTATCTTGGTCGCAACTCCCGCAGCCTCGTGGTGTTGAAGAAATTCGTTCCCTTCATTTGAAAATGTTCCCTGTGCAAGTCCCAATCTCTTAACCATTAACGGCAATCTGATGACGTCATTTGCCTTTTGAACGCCTGTCACGCATTCAAGTGAAGTATCACTTGATTTACGAATAAGCCAATCAGAGACACTTTTGTTATTGTATGAGCCAAATACCTATATTTGCTGCTAAATTTCCCCCACATTGACATGAAGTAAATCCTTCATTACGTCACAGATCCGATCTAAATGACGTCACGATGAAATATAAAAGTCGCAATATCTAAAAAAGTATACGATGAAAACGCGTAAAAACTTGCAGAATTCGTCACAATATCATCAGTAACATTTCCGAATCCTAAATGGTACTTTTTTGAAGGTGGGATAGTCCCTTTAAAAGAAAGATCCTTTTGTGTATTATGTCAACATCCGCGACATGCGTGGGTGAAGAATAATCTGAGTAGATTTAACCCTCGCCGGACCTATTGGTTTTCTACATACGCGCCGGCCGAGGGGGGGGGGGGGCGGGTACGACCCCCCCCCTCGCCGTTTCGCCCCTGGTGGAGCTAGCGCGTCGCGGAAAAAACGAGCGTGTGCGCCGTTACGAGACGCAGAGATTGGTACCCGATTTTAAGGTCCTAGGTCAACCGGTGACCTCTGAGGTCAGGTCAAGTGCCCCAGGGTACAGTTCAGTTTTTGGTTAATAACTTCGCAAAAAACGGCCGCAGAGCCGCAATTTTGGCAGCATCGTGTTCGCCGCGCTCAGGCGCGTCGAATGATATACTTTTTGTTCGGGTCAGGTCAACTTAGGGTGTTGACCTCAGGTCAAGGTCAGGTCAGCACCCCCAGGTCACGAAGCTGGTCGAAAGAGGTCATGTCGCATATCATTCGATTCGGCAGGTCTTCCTGAGTCCATTGGTGGCTTTCTCGACTCGCTAGCTCAATTTGATCAGGAGTTATTGACGAAAAACTAATGTGACCTTGATGACGTCATAAATGACGTCACGGATGGTCAACATTGCAAAAGTGACGCATCTAACCTTGCAAGGAGTGCATCAAATCACGATTCTGTGTGCTTGAGATAGTTGGAGATCGTTCCCGGCGCCAGCATAGCAGTTTTCATTTTTCCTCATTGACTTATAATGGTGAGGTCACGAAAATGACCTGACCTCATATGACCTTTAGGAAAAATCCGAGATATACAAGTTGTGAGACTCATAATGGATACTAGATCCTGCAAGTTTCATTTCCCTGTGACATCTCCTCTGGCAGTGAGGGCGTTGCGAAGTTGCGACATCTGAAGACCGTGCAGAGGTTCACTTATGACGTCATAGGTCAGTGACCTGACCTGACCCAAAAATGCGGTTGGTGTTAAAAGATGCGGCTTGGATCAAAGGTCAGGTATGTCAAGTTTCAGCTCTCTATCGCCAGCGTGTTCGGAGCTATCGCGAAAAAACCCTATGGGGGGGCGGCACCCGCCCCCCCCTCGGCCGGCGAGGGTTAAGTGTTTGAAATGGTTTTTATGTGTGCGATGAACAGCTGTTAAGGTACGAAAAATTGTTAGCTTCCGTCTTGGAAATATCAGCTTTGAAATTGCTTCTCCTCTCGGCCGGCGAGGGTTAAGTGTTTGAAATGGTTTTTATGTGTGCGATGAACAGCTGTTAAGGTACGAAAAATTGTTAGCTTCCGTCTTGGAAATATCAGCTTTGAAATTGCTTCTCCCAGATTGATAATTAGCAAATATAATTTCAGCTAATGCGCACTAACCTTAAGATATCGAATGACGGAGCCATTCAGATTCGACACTCGACATTAAACAGTATATCGACGGTAATTGGGGTAATTGGACTCATCGATTAGCTATTCGCCAGTGATGCTATTGTTGCCTACCATAGACATTTCGCATAAATACCCATCAAAAGCGTTGTCATCTATCGACACATGCATCAGTTCTCATAATCAAACAATAAACATTAATCTAATTAACATTGCCATACCTAAAATCCACCTCTGTTGTCATCCATTGTTTTTTGTTACTCAACTTTCAGAGGTTTCTTAGACATCTCGTCAGCCAAGTTGACGAGTCACCCACCACAGAAGTAGACAGGATTCTTGTAGGGTTACGATGAGATGCGCTGTGAATTGATGAATTTCCCAGCGTTGTCGATTTTCCAATGCAAGTCGAACTGCAACACATAAGTGACTCAAATTATCTGCGAAATAACCGTTTCAATGAGGTGATTGATGTGAAGTGTTATATGGTCCATAACATCTTCACGCCGCAAACGCACACATTAGACCATATACTTCGGTATACAGATGCCTGTGGTCTGACATATCCTGCCAGTTAGGAATACATTTCATGCACAGTCAGCAGGCACTTGTTTGAGGTACTTCCCCATGATTTTTCAGCATAAAACAAACGCTCAGAAAAGTTTCAGAAAACGTTGCATCTTCTCACATCGTACGGCTTGTCTTGAAATACACTAAAATATACATATATTTTATTTATTGGACTATCCAGTTAATAACAGCCGACAAACATTTCCTGTCCCGTCGGACCGCTATCCGCGGACAATCGGACGGAATAATCCTGTTTTCCGTCTGCCGCCCGCGGACCCTGTGACCCGACTGCATCCCACCCCTAATCCAACTCAGTCTTGGGGCGTCTGTGAAGGAGCACAGAGATGACGAGCAGCCGAGGAGCAGGAGAGCTGGTCAGAACGTCTTCGCTCCTCCTCGGGACAGCACGGCTTCGGTCACGGCCTTCCGCGGGTCCCGACGGTCACACATACAGGTGAGTCATACATACACGTGCAGCAACAGACGGATTTCAATACGAACATAAATATGGGGTTTCGTGATTGATATATTCAAGCAGTCAAGTATCGTCAGATCATGCACGCAATGTGTCTATGCATTTCATTTCGTATTGTTTTACCTTTTGATAATTATCAATTAAGTCAATGAATAGCTGAGTGCATAATTCAGTTACACATTGATGGAGTCTCGATGCTCTCTATATTACGTGTAAAAGTGTAACTATTATCTTGAAAGTTAATGCTTTTGAATTGTAAAGTACAATGCACCGCAATCTAGCAAGATAAAACTAACGAATATCAAGGTGGCTACTTTTTCATTTATGTTATAAGATGACTGAAAGGAGAAACACTTATTTCCCTCCTTATCTCTTAAACTTTTCTCCCGTCTGCGCGTGTGTTCTCTCCTCCGTGATGGCGGTAATACCGTCCCGTCATCAGCCTTCGCCAACATCAGCGGTTACAACAGGAAAACCGCAGCAGCAGCAGCAACAACAACAACAATAAGACGCAGCAGAATCAGTTGCAGCAAGCGCAACAGCACAAAGAAGCAGCACAATCTGCACCAGCAGTCGCGATGCTCGCGCTCCGGTGCCTCCTGCTGGGCTGCGTCCTGATGACACTCGCCCTCGCCGACCCCCTGTCCAATGAAGCCGACTCCACTGACGACACCGAGGAGGCCAAGCCGCGTATCCTGCTGCGAAAACGGCGCACTACCGAGCTGCCCAGCAACGCCAACATCCGGTTCGAGTCGAAATTGACGGTGCCACAGGTGCCGACCGGCCTCTACCAGGTGTGGTTCGGCCCCGTGCGCTTTTACATCCAGCAGCTCTTCAGCTCGACCAGGTGGGTGCCGGTGAGGCGTTGTCGGGTCAGACACTCTGTCTGACCGGACCCGACCCGGCAGGGCGGGGTCAAGGTCACGGTCCGCCCGGCTGACCCCTGTCGCCCTGTTGCAGAGATGCGGGCGGCGGTGATGCTGACGGCGCTGGTCTCTCTGACCGTGGCCTCTAACCCCGTCCTGCTGGACCCCGAGGGCAACTGTCACGTGCGGATGCGCCGTATGGTGCACCGCACGCGACGGTTCATCGCCCCGGGCGCAACTTGGAAGCTGGAGTTCGGGGTGGAGATTTTCTGGAGCGGTTTTGAGATATGGGCGAGAATCCCCGTCAACTACCGGCTGGATGATTTGTTCAGTGGCAGGATGAGGGAAGCCAGGTAAATTGAACGGATCATTATCTTTCTAGTTGAGGTTTATTTGCCATTGGGTCTACAGTGCAGGGATATTTCTATCTCGCACTCCTCTGAGATGCAGTGATAAGAAATTGTTATCTCTGCATCCCTCTGAGATGCAAAGATAAGGTCTCGAGGGTTCATAGCGAAAAATCAAGAGTTCAAGTGATGATGGGTCTAATAACCGAACAACGTTTATGGATGGTTGTTTATGGATGGTTGTTTATGGTTGTTTATGGATGAAACTTATGAAATAAGAACAAACTACTCTGGAATCTATTTTTACACAGATGAATACATCTAAATATAATATTTTATTAATCAAGAATAAACCTCAACATAGAAAGATATAGGATTCCTCATGGCTCACTCGTGGAAGATCGGATATCTTTTCCTCGCGTGTTACAGAAAAACCTCGCTCCTTCGTCGCTCGGTTTTTCAGTAACCCGCTTGGAAAAGATATCCTTATCTTCCACTCGGAGCCATGAAGAATCCTCTATGTATCATCCGTTTACTGATACATCTGTTAGCCAAATGAAAACCATTAGAACAAATTATAACAGGCTTAAGCCTAAAATGTTTTTGGTCTCATGCAAAGCTCAACTAACGTTTAGGGTGCCTAGCATTCCATCAACAGATGGAAGAAATCATACAGAAATCATACAGATGCTGATTCGAGCGCAGCTGCGGTTCGCGAAGGGCAACATTGTTCTGTTTTAACCTTTTAGCCATCCCTTTTCTCTCCGGCGGTCATTGATGCTGACTGCTAAATGTCTCGATATTCGAATACCACTGACGCTCCGCCTCCTTCCTCAGCGCTCGGGACATCGCCGACATTGTGTCTCAGCAGCTGGCAGCTGATCGAGGCAGTGCCTCCACGGCTGCCCTCAAACAGCTGGCCGAGAGCTCGCTACGCCAGCAGGCCGCGCAAGGGTCGACGCTGTTCTTCACCGGCCGCGCCGTGGCCGAGGATCAGGTATGGATCAGTGCTGCGATGTGTTTACCGTTTCTCGTGAAGCGGTAGTCAGGTCATGAATTTGGGGTCGTAATGAGGACAGCCTGCTGTCATTGAGAACATCCATATATAACCTCGATTGTGTCATAACCACTGATCTGAGAATGTTCGATCTCTGACGGTGACGGTCTTTGTGATAGCTAATGATGGACTGGTTTCCATACAATGATCCCTCGCGTTGTTTCCATTCTTTGCACCAGCTTCTCTGCAAGCAATGGACTCAAATAGGCGTGGCGATAAGCCAACTAAGTGCCGTACTATTTAGTTAATACTTAATACACCTTGTTAGGGCCTGCTATGTCGTAACATAACAGTTATCGTCGACGCCATCTTATCTAGCTGATGATTTTACCATGTAATTCATGAGCATGACTGCCTCTCTGTGTTCTATCCACCTTACTGCATGACCCTGCCGTTGGTTCGGAGTGACACAATGACCTGATGTGTTTGTGCGTCTCAGCTGAACATCTTCCAGTCCCTGGAGGCAGCCATGAAGGAGCTGGGTGTGGACGGCAAGGCATGCCTGCTGCGCACCATCTGTGAGCTGCAGGAGTCGCCGGTGGCCGAGTGGACCTTCGCTGGAGAGCTCATCACACACTTCCTCACGTAAGTGACCGCCGACGGAGAAGTTCAGCAGAAATTCCGATTGTAGTCTCGGTGCTTCATTCGCTGCAGCTCAAAATGACGTCACAATGCTTTTCCATGACGGACCTAACTATTTCCTAGCATCAAATGTAAGCTAATAAACCTGCCTTTGTTTCCCTTCCAATGTTTCTTGTTTTGTTGTCATAAGGTGCGCATTTTACGCTTACCTGGTACTTTCCCTGCGCTTCATAGTCTTTTTAACGTAGGTATCCGAAAACCAACCCGAACAAATTCTATGGGTGTATTTCACCTCCGTTTTTTACATCTCCGTTTGTTCTAACCCTTGAAAACCGCTCCGATAAACGATTCCGAGGCTGAGCGACCATTTCTGTGCTGGCAGGCCGAAGGAGGGCAACTACGACTTCCTCTCCGACTACCAGCAGGCGCGGCAGCTGGGTGCCGAGGCGGGCGGCCGGCAGCGCTGCCGAGCGGCCTACTCCGAGTGTCCTCTCTCCGTGTTCAACTTCATCCCCGACATGCTAGGAGAGGACGTGCTGCTGCCGCTGGGAAATATCACCAACAGTCTGGGCTAGGGGCTACCGCGGCAGCACGGTCGCCAATGTTTGTTATTTTATCGAGTGTTCTCATGTGCTGCTGATCTTTTTTCCGGATCCAAAAGTCAGAGCAACAAACTAAAAGCATGTCTGTTGCACTTTGTTGTTGTTATGATGATTGAGTTTTATTCACGATCGATGGCAACACAAGGCAAATTCCTAAAACCAATTTTAGTGGTAGTGGTTTTAGGAATTTGACTTGTGTTGCCATCGATCGTGAATAAAACTCAATCATGTCTGATTATTTACAAACGTTATGATGATTGTTATATTCTGAATGAACTCAGGGGTCAAGTTAAACGGTCGATGCGATTTGGAGCGCAGCATTGCAATGTATATGGTGCTTGGGTCACACTGCAGTGTGTCAGGTGTGATTGGGCCCGTTCTCATTTATTCGTGCAACATGTGAAGATCGAATGGTGTTTGAAGCATGCACACATTTCCAGCGGAATATCTCAGTGCAAGTTGATCCGCATAGGAGTGTTGCATTAAGTTTTAACATATAATGAATATTTAATGCCCCCGACACGTGAATAGCCTATGGTGTTTCACATTTCCGCATTAAAAAAAAATCTTACGTGATATTGTTTGCATTATCAGCACTGATGACCTGATGCGTCTATAATGCCTATTGTTATTTTTCTACTTTTCGTTTCTACCTTATATTTGTGTAAATATTAGATGAATGTGTGCTTATAACTCCAATCCATGTTTAACACTGAAGATGCAATACATGTTGGCATCAATCCTCGTATTTTATCGTATTATCGTATATTCAGGTTATGCTTTATGAAACAAGCCCGTAACATTATTGCCTTTACCGTACCAAGCATCACCTGATGAAATAAATGGCACACGAAAGTAAATGCCACACAGTTACATGCACCCACTAACTTGGATGTAGGCAAGTTATGCTGAGTCAACGTATGGTTCACGGATACCCAACTCATTTGCTGGACAAAGTAGATGACGAGACAAAGTTGTATTTATTCCGGACGAAAATAACCATGTGGAAGGCAGTGGGCGACCACCACTAGAAACCAGAGTGAATTTTACATCAAACGTCAAAACACACTATCCACTTCAGTTGGGATGGAGACGAAGGGTGCGCACTGAGAGAGGAGGAATGTGGAACACTGTTTTATCTCGCGTCGTTTACACACGCCCCCTAAATCTGGCAGGCATCTGAAAGCAACACTCTTCTGATAACTACAAGCATCTACCAGATACTGTTGATAGAAATTGAAAAGACACAAACGCGCTTAAGCCTGACAACACAATTTAACGATTTATCATTTGTAACTGCCGGCCGAAGCGGAACAATCGCCACTCTAAAGCTTCTGACTGATCTACTGAAAGCCTTTGCTAGAATGACAGCTTCGAACATTCAACGGCCGTAAGAACGAATGAGAAAGCTGACAGCCACCATTGACACAAACACGGAATGACACAAACGGAATGCATCACACTGAGCGCAGCTGGCGGGCGCGGGGCGGTCGGGGCCGGCACTGACAGCACCCAGTCGAGGGAATGGGGACGCGACCGCTGACACGAGAGCAGGGCAATGGAAGCGACGTGTGGTAGTCGATATCTAAACATCAGACACGTCCCTGGAAACTGACTGCTGACGCTGCCAGAAGTCAGTGCCCACACGGCGCAGAAGCCTCTGTTAGGTAGTGACACTAACGCATCACACTAAGTAACCTGATTCGAAGACAGACATCGACTAGTGCCTAGAATCGACGCTGGTTTTCTTATCAATTTACCCACGCATTAATGCAACATTCATTCAGATGGTGAAACGAAACTACCCTATCCGCACCGTTTTAAGTGGGCTCCTCTTCACTTGATGGAGCTTCACAGATACAAGTGGCTTCACAGGCGGCCGTTTAGCAGTTAACATAATAATGCCATCGACGTACGAAATATTGTAGTCTGCTCTCACAGAAACATTCTAAAAATATAACCCGTTTGACTGAATCAACCCGTTGAATTTACGCTTGTGGAGTCCTGAAATTCCCAGACTTGTGTTTAGAACAGGCGCACAGGCTAGGTGCTGCCCTCTAGCCCCTGTTACTCTAACTCTTAGTTCTGGGCCTGGGCCGCCTGACGATTCTGCTGTCGCTGCTGTCGCCTCTGCTTGCGAGCCAGTCGTCGCTGCTGCTTGTCCTGCTTGTTCTGACGACGCTGAAAGAAAACAATAAATACTGCTGAACAAACACATTCTTTTTAAAGCATATTCCGTCATGTAATCAGTTTTTCCCCAGCAGCCCAACTCTTAGAAGGCTGCCTTGCCTGCCTCATCTCCGTGTCTTCACGGTCGGTGAGTTGTGCGGTACAGCCTAGCTTCAGGCGCTTTCTACTAACGCCATCTAGGAGTGGGGAGATGAAGCTTTCGAGCTGAGCATGACGTTCGGTATTGCTGATCAGTAATATAACTGTAGTCGGTTACAATGCCTTTATCTAATTCAACATAATTCGCATTCGTGCCTTTCCTACATGAGTTAGAGCCTCTTTACATTACAATGCCATTGAAAGAACGTTTTCAAGAGACACATCACGCAAAAGTATACCAGTCAAAAACTCCTGTTCGTTCCTGCTCAACATCATATCATCCAGCCCGTCAGTCAGTCCATCCGCCCGCTCACCTGGGCCTTCCTCTGCGCCTTCTTCTGACCCTTCCTGGCGGCGCGGCGGCCCGACTTGCGGTCGAAGCGGCGCTGCACGCGGCAGTCGAACACCTCAGTGACGGTGGCCGGGCAGCCGGTGCCCGAGACCAGGTTACGGGTACCGGTGACAGTGCTGCTCATCTGGTCACATTCACCCCAGGTGGCCAGACGGCGACGCTCGTACTGGCAGTCTGCGGAAGAGGTTAGAAGTCAGAGGTCAGAGGTCAGATAAGTCAGAGGTCAGAGTAAATAAAGGTCTGATAGGTCAGTGAGACCATGGAAAGGTGTGGCATTTCAGTTAAAGACAGGGGTCAGGCATTGACCGGACTGATTGGTTATCTAAGTGGTCATTCAGAACTCGTGAAGGTTAATAAAGAATAGACCAAAAATGTTCAAAGACATTAGAGCGTGACTCAGTCTGGATGTCGTTAACAAATAAAAATAAAACGAAAGAAAATGCATATTGCTACCGGCTTCGCTCCTCGTTTAATCAGTCATAAACTGATCATCTCTTCCTGCTTTGTATTAGCAATCGCTATGTTATCATATTCCTTCTCCTTTCGCCACGTAACAAATTACAAGTTCCATCACAAAACCTGTGACATTTGTCTTTAGTAAACCGACCAATGATCTTGGCATATCAAACTGTTATGATGAATCGTAATTCACATTATATTATGAGTCACATGATCATTTCCAGATGAAGCTCCGGAAACATCAAACGTGGTTGTAAAAGCATTGTAGATCTACACAGACAGGTGTAGGAAGGCCGTAATAATATCGTGTATGATTTCCTGCAGCTACGCTGTCGAACACACATACAGAGCTGTATGTCGGATAATGCGGACGTCAATGCAATTTATGGTATCTGGCTAGCTACCAGTAAATCCGGTAAATCCGGTGTAGGGTGGCTGCTGGTTAATGAGGCGTATATGAGATCAATGCTGAGCGAACCATCCGAAAAATGGGCATATACATTTTCCTTTGATGCTTCTTTAGCTAGAGAGCTCAACGAAAAGATAATTGAGTAATCTCGTCAATATCGTGTCTCACGTCTCTCCGGTGGTGTCACTACATTCAAAAGAAATGCTTTAAAAACATCAACCATATAAATTTCATTCATGCATAGTTTCCGATAAAACATCATAGCTCGGTTTTCATCTTCTAACCCACAGGAATAATAAAACGCCGTTCCAAATAGTTACTCTAAAGTTCCTGCCATCAGCGCCGGCGGCACGAAGTAGTTACTCACCCTCGCGGCAAGCCTTGCTGATGTTGCGGGTCGGGTGGCAGGTGGGGTCGGACTTCTGCTCCTTCAGGACATCGGTCCTGGTCTTGAGACCCTCAGCCGAGCAGGCAGTCCAGTCGCCACTCCGGCGGTACTTGCACTTGGCCGCTGCGAACAGAGAAGTCAATGATGCTGCGACGGATATCGAAGGGGGATTTTATACCAAAGTCTGCTCTTGAACTGTGGCTGTTTGAAGTGAAGTTTGGACTGAGCGTAAGTTTTAGACCCTTATATCTAATTGTATACCTAACCTCAATACCAAGCTAACCTTGTTTGTCCCAAGTTAACAATTATAATTCGTAATTTGTTCAAGCATTGTGACAGTTCCTTCAGTTACCTTACGTTATAAAATGCACATAACCAATGCCAAAATAAGACTATAACGAGTCTTTGAACACATACTGACACATCCTTTTGGAATGTTTTGTGGCAAAATCAGGCAGCGCCACTTTACGGGGTGTTGTACATTGCAACATTAATGACAGCTAGTAGGACCAAGAAGACGAATCTCGTGAAGAGTCACACGCTCCGCATGGTCCAGCCATATTGAGCTGACCGGCGACCTTTCGACTGGCTTCGTGCCATCAACGCGACCCTCAGAAGCATGTCACCTTTCGACTCTCAGTGGACAGTGAAAGAGTGCGACAAGAGTCAGTCATTTCATCTATTCATTCTTCTAGAAAATGATGCAAGCTGCATAAGGACGATAAAATGCTCTCTTGCAATGCTTCTCGTTAAAACCGATCGAGAGAACCAGCGATTGAGAAATTAAGTTAAAACGCCTGGTAAAACATTGCAGTCTATTATATTTGACATTCGATTATGTGGCGTGACCTTGGATGGTATCTTATTTTATCCATAAATATAAATAGGTAGGTCTGACCAGTAGCGGCAGAAAACCTTCAATTTAAGGGAGTGCACTGCCGACTTTTGGTCCCATTCTTTCCATGCAACGCCCATTGGGCTAATGTTAGAATGCCAAAACCAAAGGGGGCGCGGTGCCCCGCGGGGTACCGCGCCCCCTTTGTGCCCTCCCTGTTTCGCCGCCCATGGGTCTGACAAGAAATCCTTACAAAAAAATAGACCTTGTTGAATAACAGTGATATCTACTATAAAGATAAAAAAATAAGAAATTCGTACTACGAATGTCGTACTTTTTACGTTTCATTCAAGAAGGAAATATATAGGGTAAGGGCGGGTAAGAGTACGCGGGCGATAAGAGTACGCATCAGCTGTTTCGGTTGCTTAGCAACGCGGGTTTGTCGAGTTCATGAAGTGACATAAAGCCGCCAGTGCGTGCTTGTCACCAACGGAACGTGGGCGTTGAGCGGCGACGCTGTTGAGTTTAAGGCGATGAATATTATTTTCGAGCGTTATGATATTATTATGATATGGTACAATAATTTTGATACTTGGCAGTTGAGATAAGGTACATTTCCGTGATTGTTGTGGGAAACTTGTGAGGTTATCTGGGGAAATACTGTGCAGTGCAATATTCTGTTTGCGAAGTTTTGCACAACGTTTCGGGGTTGTTTTGTACGCGAATTGCATGTACGGTAAGAGGACGCACTGTTCAGGAGGGTAAGAGTACGCAGAATTATACATTAAATCGAATATACAGAAATATAAAATTATTAATCTATCGCTCAATGACGTTTGTTTTGTAGGTATATCATCAATGGAGCACTGTGATGCACCTGCGTACCGAAATTCTTCCAAATACGAGTTATTTTCCCTTTTGATTGTGCATTTTTTTAAGAAACACACGACATGGTTATTTCCTGATTTATAGAGTTGAAAGATTTATTTTATGTTTTTCTTTTTGGATGCTAGAATTAACTTAAATGCCTTCTGAGTTTGAAGTTAAGCATTTGGACAGTACAAGCTGCATAGGTGTGTGTTCATTTCATATGCTTGCGACTTGCGTACTCCACCCGCCTGGCGTGCGTACTCTTACATACCCCATATGGTAAGAGTACGCAACTGCAGCGGTTCAGAAAATGTCAGTTTTAGACCACTTCCATTTACGCTGAAGGATCGTTACCCCATGGGCTGATGGCTAATTCAATGAACTTTAATATTCCCTATTTGCAATTTTTTTCTTTCAAATATTAAACAAATGAGAGCAAGAAATCCACTAAGTGCGTACTCTTATACGACTTCACCCTAACTGAAGAGTACCGCCAGGTTTACTGTCAAAGACTGACGATTGTGACAAGGAAAGGGGATCCGGAGGGACTGCAAGTGTCAATGAGGCAACAGGTCACAGCTCATCAGAGAATAGGACCGTGAAATGTCTCAGCAGAAGTCCCATAACTGTCTTCTTATTTGTCACGGAACAGAAGCCTAACCAGTTGCGGTTTTAGCAATCCTCGATGTCAAATAAAAAGATACAGGATTGGTGATAATTATGTATTTGTGCTCACAAGGCAGTGAGTAATCAACGGATGCTGTTTTGTCGGTCCGTCGGTCCGTCGGTCCGTCGGTCCGTCGGTCCGTCGGTCCGTCGGTCCGTCGGTCCATCTGTCTGTCTGTCTGTCTGTCTGTCTGTCTGTCTGTCTGTCTGTCTGTCTGTCTGTCTGTCTGTCTGTCTGTCTGTCTGTCTGTCTGTCCGTCTGTCCGTCTGTCCGTCTGTCCGTCTGTCCGTCTGTCCGTCTGTCCGTCTGTCCGTCTGTCCGTCTGTCTGTCTGTCTGTCTGTCTGTCTGTCTGTCTGTCTGTCTGTCTGTCTGTCTGTCTGTCTGCTAGTCATGCTAGTTTATCGGCCGGTTTGTCTGCAGACGGTCGTTTTGTCTTAGTCGGTCAGACAGCTGGTTTATCTGTCGGTCTTCCGGTCTGTTGGTCTATCGGTACATCCGTCCGTCCGTCCGTTGGCCATTCGCTCGGTACATAGGTCTGTCGGTCAATTGCTCAAGCTCAACAGTCAATTGGTTTGCCTGACTGTATGTATAACTGTATCTGCCTCTCTCTATCTCTGCCTATCTAGTTATCAGCTGATCAGTAGGTCGATTGGTCTACTGGCCAGCTGATTTTCTGTTGATCGGCAGGTCACTCACCCGCAAGGCCGAAGCACAAGGTCACGAGCAGTAGCACGGGGTACTTCATAGCTCCTGTCCGTGGGGTGGTAATCTGAAAACAGACACTGCACGTCAGTGGACGAATGATAGATGACCAAATTATGGTAGGGTAGTTAAGTTATGTAATCTGCAAAACAAACGAGCTTCTCACTGTAAGCAAGCAATCGCTCAACACAAAATTGTGGGAAAAGATGGTGCAAGTCAAACAATGCATAATCACGTATGTCATTCCGGATTCCATAATTTGCAACAGTGGTAATTCAAATCTAGAACTTTCGTCTGTTGAACTCTCTGCAGTCTGCTTCTCCCACCGTGGGCTATACGCACTTACTGTTATCCGTACGCTAAATTACACACAAAAGCAATTACCTCCCGTAGCTCAGGCAGGGCCAGTAATATGAACATTAGCATTCACATGAAACCTATTAGATTACGTGCAGCACATACGCAGTTAGCCCGAGATTACAGCACACAGAACGCCCCTGAACACCTTAAGCGAATGAACGAAGCCACGCCACCTTGGACAATGGACATGGCAGCGACGCTTGCTCCATTTACAGCGGCGCCTATTCAGCTGGTTACCATGGATATTAGAGTCTGTCTCCCCGAGACCTTCACACTCTTTATGATTAAACATGAGCCGGCGTGCAATAACCTTTCCGGGCTCGGCTGGGTCGACTCATATCGTGATTCACCCGGCCCATACCATATTGCAATTCATAAGATAGGCAGCGTGGCGCATGCTTAACCAAGCAGAAGGTCCATATCTTCTGCGGAAATTTCCGCTTTCTGTACGGACTGCATACGGCTGCACCGTTCATATTTCCATACGATGCCCTCGTCGCTCCCATGCCAATTCAGTTCGGCTGGCCGGCCTTGCAGCGGCCGGCAGTCACTTTAGTTTCATTGGTCCCCGCCCTCCCGTGCCGGCGACCAAGACTGGCTGGCGACCGTGGCGCCGCCACTCGGAGACCGCGAGAACTACAGGCGTCACCGCACGGTAGAAAACTGGGACTGGTCGAGAGAGTCTAAACTTCTGCGGTCTAAACTGTGCGGCAGCAGCTCAGTCTTCCCAGGAGAATGACGTACGACAGCGCCAACAATCCGTGAGAAGCTGCCCCGAAACTTCTGGAACTTCCCCGACTTAGCGACACGGGAACTTGGCGGAGAATTTATGATGGGAATAGCACCAACACCTGAAAACTTGACGGCTTCTGAGGAGCATAGAACCCGGAGCCTTTAGCAGTGCTTTTCATAGCAGGAGCTAGGTAAATTATTTGATCGTTGCTTAAATTCAGATCGTTTCCAGGTCATTTTCACGAGGGTGCTCGAAGAACAATTGGGTGAATGCTATTCGAATCTACCAAACGCACAGCTCAGCATAGACTTCTCTCGGGACCTCATTCAGATGACGCAATGCGATTAACCCTCGCCGGCATAGGCCATTTTGAATCCTTCGACGTCACAAGGGGGGGGGGGGTACGACCCCCCTCGCGTTTGGCCCCTGATCGAGCTAGAGCTTCGCGGAAAAAACGAGCGTGTTTCCCGTCACGAGAGGAAGCCGATGATACCCAATTTTAAGGTCCTAGGTCATCGGGTGACCTTCCAGGTCAGGTCAATGACCCGAAAACCGGGAAAATCGGGACATGTTAGAAAGTCGTAAAGTGTGGCTGCTATGTGGTTTTCCGGGGTGCTGATCACGAATATCGTGTTAGTTTTGATCAGAGATGATGTCTTTAAGCATTTAGACCAGGTCGGGTCAGGTCAGGTCAGGTCAACCGGTAGGGGTTGTGACGGGTATTCGTAATACGTGTCAACCGCCTCGGACAGCTTCGTAACATGTTACGAAGGCACCAAAACTACTTCGTAAATGTTCAACTGGTTGCTAAATTCGACTTCAGCTCCAAAAACTAGCATAGAAACATGTAAAACTCGAAAAAGTGAACCGAGGTCACCCGAGGTCACCAATGACCTGACCTGACCTTCAGGTGACCTTGACACCCATCCTAATGCATGGGAGCAACATCAAATCACATGTTTGAACGTTTGAAACCACGAAATCTTGCAAACGCGCGGCTAATGCGAGCCGACATGCGCCGAACCGCGATTTCGGCCAAACATGGTCACAGAAAAGAGGTCACAGGTCAAAGGTCATTGGGGTCAGGGTCATGAAATTTTCAGGGTAGGTGTAAAATTGATCAATGCGAGGGTACTGAAAGTTTCGTCGCGATCGGCCGCTTTTTACGCGAGTTATTCGCGAAAAACCTTAGGGGGGGTTGCATCAACCCCCCCCCCCTGTGCCGGCGAGGGTTAAAGAAGATCGCATATCGTCCACTGAACTCGACATGCACTCAACAAGCGAATCCGGCGATAAGCATCAGGCTAGGGTGAGATGTAGTTAACAGGTCGTAATCGGTTTTTCACAGGCCATGAGCTTCCGTGGGTCACATCATTGTAACTATACGACATCGCTTTTGGCGTCGCTTCACATTTGATGTTCCGATCGCCGGCTCGCGGCGCGAATGAGGTCAGGCTGGTCTATCTGCTATCTTGCAATCTCGATAATGTGTCACCGAGCGCTGCAAAGGATATGGCAGCCCTGTGATATATGACGCCATTGGTTGATTGCAGCCATACGAAAGATGAAACATCAGGGGTGACATAAATGTTGAGAATCGCTCACAGAGCGGTAAATCACGAGACTGGTGGCCGGTGGGTAATGGTAACGCCGACAGAGAGGCCGGTCGGACGGCACAATCATTTCTGAATGCCACCTCACAGCTCATCCTGATAAATCATTTGTGGGAAGTTTGCAATAAAGTAACCTTGCTTAAATATAATAGAAATAGGTACAATATCAACTATTGACAAGTGACCATTTTTAATGCATTCATTTAGCAAACAGCCTTGTGCTGCATACAGACTGAAACAAACCAGGAAAATAGCACAGTGCAAACAAAGCCGAGAGCAAGATCTGATTTCTGCAGAACGACTGCAACCACATCCCGTACAGACAAACGGGCGGCCGTTTACCCGGAAACGATATCTGGACAGGCTGTCCGTGTTTCTTTCCAGCCGCTGCAGCTGCAGCGTAGTACCCGCAGTGACCGGGCCCAGTACGGCCGGCGACTGCAGTACCACTTCCTCTGGAAGTTAGATCTTACCCACTTCCCCAGCGTAACACTACTGTGTATTCAAGTACACATTGATGCGTTAAACGTCTCGCTGGTACATGCTGTCCTCGTGCCACATCCTGTTTGATTTACTCCTTTTTCCTTTCTTATCTTTGTCCAAGACCGGAACATGGAAACCATAGTTCACATGGGAAACTATCGGATGGGGATAAGAGGCTCGCTCATAATTTAGGGTTCCACTTAAAAATGACGCCTTAGTCGTTGCATTTGCACAATCATCTTCAAATGGTCTCTGCAGTCTGCACCGCCCCTCATTCAACCAGTTAAGTTCATCCGAAGTCCTGGTGGGATCCCACTTTGGATACCAAATTTAATTTCCACGTTGTGGAGTTACTCTTAAAAGAAAAGGGTAAAAAGAAAATTAGATGAATGTAGGTAATGGGCACTTCGCTGACGAGAAGCCATAAATGTCCTCCCCATGGCATGACTACAAGTGTTTCACACATCGTTCCCCACATTAACTGGTTAGATTATCCTAGCGCTAGTTTCACCAAAAGAGTTTTAGGCGTTGCGGTCCCACCTTACGAGGCAGGATCCCGGGAGGCCTCACGGCAGTGTTTACACGGTTCCGGACCACGTGACCTGTTCAGTCGGGTCTGGACGCGTTATTGGATAGGGGCGCTATCGGGCGCTGGCGCTATCTGCCTGCGGCGCAGTGACGGCGCCTCGCTGCCCTGCCCGCCCGCCGGGACAGGCTGGCCGCGTGCTGCAGGCTCCTGACCCAGCCCCGGTGCCGGCCGGCTGTGGTCGCTGGTAGCTACGACAGCCGCTCGGACCCGCCTGGTGACCCCAGCTGCGGACCCGCAGTACTCAGACGGTAATTCAGCTGTCACTGGCAGGACTGGTGGCATGGACGATTGAGTGCTATTTTCTTTCATTACATCTGGTTTCCGCTACTGCACCCTATTTGCCGAGCTATGCAGCGCGTTGACGTTTATCAGGAACATTTATCGAGCGTAATGAATCACCAGCGGCTGGCTGGGACCGTCCAATGACCAATGCGTCCCTCAGGGACCCGTGGTACGACGCTGACCCGGAATCGGCAATGACCCCAGTGACCCGGCGCAACGGAAACACAACAGAACAACACACACGCCAATTCCCACCCTGGGACTGGTATTCTACCACGCGACTGGCCCGGACAGAATGAAGATGGAACGCGGTGAAGACGGAACATATCCAACAGGGATCAGGATGTAAGGGACTGTTATTTGCAGCCATGCAAAATACTACACCGATACTAAAAATTGAAAAATAACGAGAGACAGACGACAGGAGCCAGGCGCCATAAAAATCGAAAGAACAAAAAAATAAGCGCAACAGGAAATGGCAAACCAGGTGCACCCCTGCCATCCTAATCATAATACAAACAATGACGATTATTGACTGCGTGCCGTGACAAGATATTTCTTATCATATCTACCACTCCTCAGTTTACACTATGATTGTTATCAAAGCTGCAAGCACGCTTTAGCCCGCTATTGATTTAGCGTATCAGCTGTAAAGAGTGAGCTGGTTCCTGATTCTTCCCGTCGAAGGGGAGGACGGTAAGTTTCGCTGAAACGACTAGCCTGTCACCCTACTGGCGATAAATGAACATTGGAGCCGAGCGGCCAGCCAATCACCAACGCCAGTCACACAAAGCTTCACCATCACACAAACGGCTGCCTAACGCAGCGTAAGGCCGTAATTTTTTCCAAAACAAAGGCGGAAAGTAAAACGTCTAATGACAAAAATCCTCACTTCGACGCTGGGACAACAGACATTCGATTTCTCTTCACACTAGTTGACCAAACTATTCGTGGAGGGAGCACATCCGTTCTGCGGCTGATCCCTCTCCCCTGATGTCGTCAGGGTC